GAATTTTTCTTTAAACATTACTTCCACGATTACCTACAGTTATTCCACATATCGTATAGATTGCATTTAATTCATGATGAAATAAAAGATTATACTCTAAGTAAAAGAAATTGAGTAGATCAGTAGGCAGCAGAAGTGGTGTGTGCGGCGGCGACGGGCTGCGTGCAGAGCGCGGCCGCGTCGCGTGCATGCCACTCAATGTACCCAGCTCTGTTAGACGCTCGCCGACAAAAGTGATATTATATTTATTATTATTGGAACACACACAATATATTTTCTATGAACCTTGATGTTTAGGCTGTTTTCGACCTTGGATTAGGGAATCTCAATAACTATGTTGGCGTAACGCCCCATAGTGGGTCTTTGCCTTTAAGTCGATTGCTTGAATTGTTACAGGTCTAACTGCACGATATCTCAAGCAGTATAAGGGCCGGCAGGCGGGATATTATTGAATTGGCGTCTGAATTAAAGGAAATGAAAGAAAAATTGAAACCGAATCTTAATAAGTTAATTGCTTTCTTCTTATAGTTCTTTTTTTACGAGAAACAATTTATATAAATTACTGGTTTTCAGGATTTTGCAGACAAGTGTACCCCAGTCAGCTGCTAGACATACGTCAGTTGTCAACGGGTACGCGAGAATCGGTGGTTAGCAGGTCGCGTGCGGCGTGCGGTGCGGCGTGCGGCGCTACAATACGATCGATATCTACCCTCAGCCCAGGTAACCTACTATTAGATACAGAAATCTTGAAAGGTCTAAAGCTTAGTCATTTGAAGTGAAATTATATAATTTATATCAAAGGGCATTCGTCAATGCCTACGTTTAAGTATTTTACATTTAAGTTGATTTCACGTTATGTTAAATCACGTCATCTTAAGTTACGTTGACTTGGAGAAAATACTCAGGATGTAATTTGGAAATGTACACTAAAAGGATGTTCAAATAAATATTAAATATCTCTGAGTGTGGAAATTCAACGCAAATGGACAGATGTTATCGTAATTAATAGCATCAAGGCAATCGACTCCCCGATAGCAATAGAATATAAATGAGAGCAAATATATTTGTTTCACATTACAGCGACGTTTGCGGCCGAGACAAGGGGACAGAACTAGTCAAATAGAAAATGTGGTGATAACAAGTGGTAACACTGTTGGGGAGAGAAAACTCATTTATGTAGTAAGTATTTGTACACATGGTGTTTGTAAACTTTATTGCTTTCAGTTTTCATTGACGAAAACAGTTAAAAAACATTACTTTCATCCCCCCTTTTAAAGTCACCAAAACAGAGGTAGGAATGTTAATTTTTTTGTCGGTGGAAATCTACAGTTATGTTTGTGATTGGATAGAAGCTAACATATATTATAACAACAACATAAAACATATTTACGATGTCAAAACCGAAGTCTCATGTATCTAGAAGTAAATAAAAATATTTCTACTATTTTGACTCGTTCGACTAATCCCCGTAAAGCCTTCTGGAGGTTATTTTTTGTCTCTGTCACAGTCACTATTATTCCCGTATGTTCTCTCACGCTCGCACTTATCGCTTTTCCATCTCCCAATGTCGCTCGAAGCGAATACACGTTTATTTTTCATTTCTTAAGGGGCGAAGAAAATAATTTTCCGTGAGCTTTGAACCCGAGCTGAGGAAAAAATGGGATATTTCTTAAATGTAATTGGATTCTCGTCTAATCTGGACGCCTCTTGCCTCACGAGGGGACGTGGTGAAATAGAAATACCTACCTAAGTTATTAAGGTTTATGTATTTATAAATAATTGAACTTTTAAAGAGCTTTTAAGAGATCGCTTTGTGTGTTCTTTATATATCATTTGCAGACTTTCAGATTTGTTTTCAAGAACTAGAATCTATCTATTATAAAATTAAATTTATAATGAGTTTTGTATAATTTGTTTTATTTTTTTTATGCAAGGTACAACATTCTGCTGTGAACGTTGGGATAAACATTTTGGTACCAGCAAATATCAGAAAACGTAATATAAACGTTTCACGTTTGTAATTCTTTTAAATACCACTTATATAAGTAATATATGAAACTTCAGATATTTAAAATACACAGACATTGAAAAATATACCTATTTCTTTAATGTCTAAAAATACACGATCTAATTAATACTAGTCGTGTAGCTCCATCTATGTTTACATTTAAAAACTTCTATGAATCTATGAAAATGGTAAGTCATTTTTTACATACAAGATGGCGCTTTCAATGATTTTTTATTTACAATTTTGAAAATCAGATTACTAGATGTTCCAAAACTTTCTGAAGCATGTAATGACTGTAAACAGTGGTTTATGAACTCTTGAAAAAAGTTGTTGATTATTAATTTTTGTTTTTTTTTAGTCAACCAGCTTCATTCTTTAAATAGTCTTTGGAACAACAAAATACTTTTTGTTGCAAACAAACACAAAACAAAATACTGTTTGAATTTTATAACATATTTGCCCGCATGAACTTACAAAGTAGGCCACTCACATATAAATTATCTTTCTAACAGTGACAGAATTTTTCAAATCGGTCCAGTAGTTTTTGAGTTATTTCAATACATACAAAAATACAAAAAAAACTTTCTTTATATTTGTATAGACTAATCTTTAGTTAATATTGAGGGCTTAATTAAAAACAACAAATAGATGTTTTCAATGTAAATATTTATTTCAAATACTATAAGTGCTTATGGTAACCAATGATACAATCGCGTTTTTTTCGCGTATTTTACAATAACATCATTTCTTAATATCACCATCTGTCGAAAGGGATCGTTTACCGACAATCCCTACAAAACTCTGTCCAAAAAATCATCTTATACACACGCCGTCTTACAAAACTAGATAATATCTATATTACATACTAAAAGAATAAATTTTGTTAATCGACTTAAACATTTGCCACTTATTATAAATCCTTTTTTAAAGTAATCAACTATAGGCACAACGCTTACTCCAAAATCTTTTAAAAGCCACAATCAAGTCTCACATAGAGGCATGCCACACGAACGTTGCGGTGCCGCACGACTCACGATTTTGCCTGTCTGGTAATAACAAACACGCAACGCAACTAACTTCACTAAATTCTTTCGTTTACAAATACCGTGTTGCACCGCACATCACATCGTGTGGCATCCCTTACATACTTGACAATTTACCGCCAAAATAAATTCAATATCGTTAATATATTATTACACGAACGAAAAACTTCTGGAACATATATTAGCTGGTTAGGGGGGGGGGTCTGTAGTTACCATTAAGATGGTCTTATCTAATTTACATTTTTCAATACTCTAAAAAGGGGAGGGAGGTAGTTGCCCCTAAATGGGGGATCTTACTATTGTATTCGGATTTCGACGTGACAAACTTATTATATGCCTTATGAATAAAATTTACATTAAACTCTCTTTACTTGCGTGCGCTTAAAATACTACACATTTTATTTACAACACGTAAATAATTTCTTTAATCTAACACTACTAGGCGGCCCTCAAACATACATATTAAAGTCAGATTAAGTTACTATGCGTACACAATAACATGACCTCAATGATGCATACCCGCCTCTTACTTCGGACTAGTTGAATTACATCTCACGGTCAATTTTTATGATACTCCGACAATTTTCTACCTTTAATTTTACTTAAATGACTGTGAAACGCAATCATCAATAACTTCAAGAAAACTATATTAGTCTCGTCGGAAATCTTTAACTAAGTGAAGTGAAACAGCTCTAAACATGAGATGCAGATATGTCTGTCTCGCTCACATATATCCGCAATAACTTAGACACAATTATATTTACTGTCGAACTCAGAGTGATACAATGGTTCCTAAGGCAGTCCCTTAATGTGCTGATCTTAAGTATTACTCTGAATGCGGCAGCAAAAATACAAATTTCCTGACAGATATTCTTTTCTAAGTTTTATCGGATCATTTAATATTTTTTTTAAGATCATAAAAATGTTCATTTACATTCCGCTAGTCACATACAAAATGTGATTTGATATCAGGTAATTTACTAATACGAAAATAAAAACAACTAAAAATTGTTCATGTATTTCCATAAAAGAAAATTGATAGGAAATTAAAATAAAAATAATTTATACATCATAAAAACGCAAAAAAAAATACTTCAATTTTGATGTCATATAAATTTTATTTTAATTTTATTAGAGCCAATCAAGTTGCTGGCGTTGAGAAAGAATAACAAATAAAATATATAATGTATACAACAGTATGTAATAAAATTATTAACTTTCAATAAGTTGTGCGGAAGAAAATAATGTGCAAAACAAAAATTAATATACAATTATAGTCAATTGATTAAAACTAAAAATTACTAAAAATAAGAACTAATTATTTTTGGCGTAAAATATACTTAAGTATACACTTAAGTTGGCACGTCGAGAACAAGAACACTCTTCTAAGCAACGTGCCAACTTAAATATCTCGTACTATATTGTCAATTTAGTTTAAAAAAATAAACAAAACAGTATTTCAAGTTTTGTCTAATGTTGGTTAAAATGAATTTTTTATACATAATATATACAAAACCACACAAACACACAAATTAGTTGTGAACCAAACAATTACAATGTTATATTGACATGTAAATACCTATTGTAGGGCCATCACACACTAGGTTTTTTGACAATTTGACAAAAAACTTAAAAAATATAACAAAATCCTTTACATTTATGCAAAATAATTTGGCCTATAGAGACAAAAATATATGGGTCTTCACTAAGCAGAGAGATCTCCCTAAGTGTAATTTTAGTGAGGGAAAACTACATTCACTTGTCAACAGTTGTATAGTGCTAAAATTACTTTTAAATGTATCATATTTACATACTGATTAATTATCTATTAATTACTATACATTTATATTTCTTTACTTATAGCATGAGAATAAAAGTGAACAAAAAAAATTAAACTTCACAACTAAAATTATTTTTTTGACTTTTTCAAAAAATAAAAAATACTTTTTTTAAAATTTTCAATTGCTGGATGCAAGTGCAATTAATTAGAAAAGAAAAATAATATGTTGAATTTTTATTTAGTTTCACCTGTCTGTCATTTGTCATGAAATCTTGCAAATTTTTTTTGTCTCATGCTATAAAATAAAGAATATGTAGATATTATCGCAATTAGGACGATTATCACATATCTAACTAGAATTAAACATTCCTTGATATAAGCATATCACATGTTTAAGGCTTTACAATTACAAAATGAAATTATCAAAACTAATGAACTTTAAACATTGCTAATGTTAACAGATTGACTAAAACTCCCACAATCTGTCACTCAGAGTACAGTGACTAAGGGAATCCCTTAGTGTAGATTTAGTGAAATCTATCTAAAACACCAAACCTCTGAATATGATCATAAATCAGATGAAATATCTAGTAAAATTTAGTTTTGTCTCGTAACAAAGGGTTTTTTAGTCATGTATACAGATACTCATTAACTATTTTAAAATCCTGTGGTTTGAATATACTAAAGTTTTGTCAAATTATAAGAAATATCTCACATCTACATTTCCTTCCACATTTTACCGCAATATAGCGAGGGTATATTTGTATAGAATGACATATCTATTTTTACAGTGGGAGGGATGACGTATTGTACATGTTACGGCAGTGGAAACGGGATCGCTGTACAAAAACTTATTGCACTAATTCGGCTATACCCCATCAGAATTAATTTAACATGTGACGTGCTCATGAGGGTTACAATATTTGGTTTAATATAGTCATAGCTGAATTGTATCCATACAATCCATACATACATCTTAAATACTAAAAATGTTCTGCTCAACTTGAGAGCTTTAATATATATTTTTTTAAACTGTATCACTTCAACAATATTACACATTAGGCTTATTTTAAGTCTTTTATTTACAATCGTATGTTGATAGCATAGCCAGTAATTTCGATATGTTGTGTAACATGCCATGGTACAGAACAAACAAGCCTCATAATAAAAATTTTGAATTTTTCGTTACATTTAATACCCTGATTGTTCATCGAGCCTTTTCAAACGGAAAAGGGCACCAACATAAAAACATTAACAAAATACCTTTAGAAAAATTAGATTAATGTCAGTTACCTAACGTAAACTGAACTAGACTAGAACTATTGCGGAACTGAATGAGAATGACATCACACAATCCTATGCCACCAACACACTGACACACTACACTACACATCACAATATTCACGGAAGTCATTCAGTTGCCATTGTCTCCGGAGTCTCAGGGTCTCGGGTCTCAGGCTGGACCTTGGGAGTGGACTCAGGCTGGACCTTGGGATCAGACTCTGGCTGGACCTCTGAAGTGGACTTCGGCTGGGCCTCAGGGGCCGGGGCCTCGAGCACGGCAGTCTCAGGCTGGCCCTCAGGTGTCGCCTGGGGCTCTGTCTGGGGCTGTGGCGCCGGCTCGGGCGCGGTCTCGCATCAGGTCTTCCTCAGCTCCACCAGCTTCACATCCTGCACGTGTAGGTTGTGCTTCGAATTGGCCGCGAACTTGATCACCGCCTGCGTCGACACCAACGGCACGTGTCGGAGATCCAAACTGTAAACGTAACGTGATACATTTAATTTTATTTAATTTTTAATGCAAATAAGAGAGACTCGTAGGCAATAGGCGAAGCGGACCTTTGGGATTTACTAGGGTGTGTATCCTAAAACATAAACAAAATGTCTACATATGGTGGTGATAAGGTGTAAGGTTTCTTCCTCCTGTTTCGCCTGTCACACTAGTAGTAACCATCAAGGACGACAGAGGGAAAAAACTATGACTTGGCTTTGAATGCAGGAACATTAATAGTGTAAAGAGGATAACGTCGTGTAGTGTTAAGCAAGGTGGAGGTGTCTGACCGCACGAGGTTGGGGCAGCGCGCGAGGTGGTCGAGCGCGGCCTCAGTGAGCAGGCGGCAGCCGGCCAGCGACAGCCGCTGCAGCGCGTGGTGCGCCAACTGCGCCGCGCCCGCGTCCGTCAGCCGAGCGCACGACGACGCGTCCAGCTCGCACAGCTTCGGTAGCGCCTGATTCACATTTACAAAAGCATAAAATATTTTAATAGCTTACAGTTTAGCTCTACTGTTTTATATTCCAAGAAAACGACAGTTTGGTTTGATCCCACTTTTCCGTAGAATCGGAAAAGGAGCGTTTGTTCAAATTGAGAGGGCGTTAAATCTGTGTATTAAGGACAACGCAGTGTTCTACCGGATTCCCCGACCGTCGCACTTAAAAATGGCTACTGACGACGTTTCAGTGGGTTAAACTACACATTACCCTGCTCCCTCAACCTAAGAGTGGAGTATCTTAACATTTACCTCCAAAGCAAAAAAAGGTCCGTTTTCTGTAAGATCGTATTATCGCCGGTCAATTTAACCCATTAACTGGTATTATTCCTTAGCAGAAGTTATGTAGTAAGAGTAACCTGTACGACGTATCGCATGGCGACGTCGGTGATGTCGGTGCCGGGCAGGCGCAGCACGGCGAGCGCGGCGAGGCGCGATGGCTCGGCGCCGGTGCGAGCGCCGCCGCCGGGCCGCGACGCCTCGGGCGGGGCGAGCACGCCGCGCAGCTTGGCGTCGTCGAGGCAGCGCGCGAACGACAGGTCTAGCGAGGTGAGCGGCGGACACGACGGCGACCGCAGCGCCAGCGCCGCCTCCGCCGGCGAGCCCGCCAGCGACAGCGTGCGCAGCGTCGGCAGCCGGGCCAGCAACCTAGTACATTATGTTACTGTTTACTCATATAACTTGTAGGGAGTCAAAAAGGTGCCAGTATGACCTGAGGGTCGGTGAGGACATGGGTAGTGGTGGGATATTGTTTACTCATGTATACTATACAGTTAAAAAAGTAATAAATGAGTGGTAAATAATTTTTGAGTTTTAATTTTTTCAACTCGCCCTTGTATTAAACCCTGTTTTGTAATCGCAGCGAGTAAATGCCAATGTCAACATTTTTTGCAGTGATGTTCAAATGATACCGGGTTTTAAAACCTTAACAATCACCTATGTTACACGCTTTAGTTAATTTTTAAATGACCAAAATACACTTAAAATGCCGATTCGAAAAGTCATTTTACTCACTGTGATTAGAACAGACGGTACGTAACTTAATTGCAGTTAACAAAGACAAGGAGAAAGGAGCAAAGATGTGTATAGACATCTGCATTTCGAGAAGGGTTACTTAGGAGCTATAAAAGGATTAATCCAATCAATGTAGGTACCAGGCGAGCTGGCGGCGCGCCAGCTGGCACCACTCGAGGCCGAGCGTGTGCGGCTGGCGGCGCACGATGCCGGCCAGCTGCGCCGCAGACACGCGCACCTGCACGAACGACATGTGCCGCCACAGGCTCGGCTCCATCTGCAACAAACACACCACGGTAATAACATCATTTGAGAAGATACTACTACTAAATGCAGCTTAAATTCGTTTTGAATAAAGTATTAAAACCGCAATCGTACTAATATTAAAAATACGAAAGTATAAATGAAAGGATAGTTGTTTGTAACTTAAACGGGTGAACGGTTTTCGATGAAATTTGGTATAGATGTAAATGATAGTATGGAAGAATACATAGGCTACTCACTTTTCTTTTTCACGTCAGGCGGACGAAGTCGCGGGCGAAAGCTGGTATTCCATAATATGCCCAGACTAACAGTGAATAATACATTGGTCTTTTAACCACAACAAAAATATAATGACACCTGTAACCCAGAGGAGTAGATAGAGATCGCGGACTTCGCCGCTGTCCTGGCTCACTATTATGTACATGTAAATAGTTTATAAGTAACGCAGTATAGCGTATATTTGCGTGAGTAGGATACATCTTGGGCTTACGCACGTCTTTCGTTCACCACAATTACTTATTCCAAAATGAAATCTTATGAACTTTCTAGTTATGTTTACCGTGTACTCAGCCCAGGCCTTGCAGACGAGGGAGCAGTTGGTGAGGTCGATGGGCGTCAGCTTGGAGAAGACGGCGATCATAGCGTCGCGGTCCAGCCACGGCACGCCCGCGTGCTGCGCGCCGCAGTACCCCGCCGGCCGCACCGGGTATAGAGGCCGCTTCAAATTCTACAAAATACTTTTTACATTACATTTATTCAAAGTGTAATTTAGTCTATTATTATAACTACGGCTGATGCGACAAGAGTGTGCCGAGCTTAATTCATACGTCTGTAGACAGTCACAAAAGAGAGTAGAGAACTAATATGAATTTCGAAATCAAAATCGATGTTAATTTATGTAGATAAATCTTAACAAAATCTTTGTCTCTCTCCTCTCTCTGTTAGATATTATGGACTTGATAATATTTCACCATATGTAAGTAATTATAGTCATTGCAGTGTGTAGATAACACACTGCAATGACTATAATTACTTAATGGGGATGTTTCCTAATGTTACAAATCCAAATAAAGTTATGTTTAATATTTTAAAGACAGCATTTTATAACCTATAATAACATTTAGAGACCTTGAATGTTTGTCTCAAATTAAATATAAATTAAAAACGCTGCAATATTTTTTACCCTCCATTACTCGATCTCAAACACCAATGACGTCACTTTCTTGCATATAACATGGCAGTGTGACCAACTTCAGTGAATGTCAGTGCATTTTGTAGTTATATTTTTTTCTAAATGATTGTAATAATTGAGTTTGCGTGTTTTATATTATGAGGACTCCATTATTGAGTGTTTTTATAATTACGACATAAGTTATGAGCAAAACATTTTATGAATATTACAAAAGAAAAATATATCAAAATTCATAAGAGTAGCTTATAGTACAATTTAATTTATACCTGGTCACACTGGTGTAGGACGCAGTCACTGTTTACACGCAAACATAATCTTCCACGAGAAGCAACAAGTGTAATTAATACGTTAAAAGTATCACCTTCTGTTCATTTTGGTTTTTTCATTTTTATCTCCATTACTAAAAACAACTTTAGACAACAAAGATTTACGAGTATTATCAATCAATGGTTCTTTCAAATTGACAGTGACAGGCCGTAACGCGAGGTTCGTATGCAAAGAAGTGACGTCATGGGACGTTTTGGGGGGAAATGAAAGAGTTGTTTTTATTTACGTGTTTTTTTATTGAAATAATGAGTATTATATTTTATACTATTTTTTTTCGTGTTCATACATGGTTTATCTACAAAATAAAGGCTATTCCAAAAATTAGGAAACATCCCCATTATGAAATTCGCAAGCATACATATAAGAATTCATTGACCACGATTTGTCAAAAATGCTAGGGGTTACGTATGTTTAAGAAAAATTGTATTTGAAACACTGTTGTTGTACTAAGTTAGTGATATAGGTGCAGTAAGTAGTTGTAAGAATACATAGGGTACAATACCTTATGACGTACCTTCCCGGAGTGGTGCGTCAGTTGCAGCGCGAGGTGCGCCCGCAGCGCCTGCTTCTTGGGCGCCTCGTCCTCGTGGCTGCTGCGCCGCTTCTTGGCTGACGGCTCCCAGCCCTCCTCCGCCACACCCTCCCCGCACTCCTCGCGCTTTATATCTGTTATTCAAACATATTTTTAATATAAAGATATATTTAAACTATTAAATATTGTAACGTCAGTCGGATTTTGGGTTTCACATCAGATTTAATTTCAGTCAATATCATAAACTAAAAGTCAACAGATAATCAATGCGTTTAAGATATTGTACTTTAACCCGCGCTATACTAACTATACCCTTAAATCCAAAAACTTAGTCAAATTAGGCAGTTATGTGCGTAATTTAAAAGTAAAACTTCAAACAATTTTTATTAATTAGTCGTAACACTAACCCCAAAGGGGCACTTTTTTCCTGGTATCTAGGGTGGGGGGGGGGTCTCTTCAAAAGATACCCTAATTTCTAAGGGAGAAGACAGGATTATATGGTGTTTACTCTTGTGCAATAGAATAAAGATCCGGTATCTCCGTGGAACTCATCTGTATCGAGTATCACTAGCCTAAAGCAATGTATTTAATTTTCTTAAATTCAGTAGTTACCATCTTCAGATTTAAGATGCAAGGGGTCGTGTTTCCCCTCGCTGTCGGAGCCCGCTTCTGACTTGACAGGCCTGGGAGCAGGCGGGGGCAGCTGCAGTTTGTTCTGGAAAAATCACAATAGTTCCTTAGTGAACAACTAACGATCCTGAGTAGGGCAATTAGGAATCTTATGAAATGAATAGTGATGTACCTGAAGACTGTTATGATGTCCAAGTTGACTGACATCAGAGCCTACACTGATACGACGTAAGTCTGACGACTTCTGACGCGCACGGAAATGACGGGGCTGTAAACAAAAAAAAAATGTAAGTTATTAAAAAAGTAAAGAATTTTTTCTAGTATTCAACGGAAAAAAATATTAAGTATAAGATAAAAAATTAACACCTTAAAAACTTACATATAATTCATCTACTAATCTACTAATTTATTAATATTATAAAGTAGGATTTGTATGTATTTGATTTACGTAATAACTACTGGGCCGATTTTAAAAACCTTTAGGAAGCTAATTTATCTGTAACATAGGCTATATTTCTATTATTTTATAATTTAACGCGAACAAAGTCTATATAGTCGCTTGACTACTCTTATCTATCTTTATGATAATGCGGTCGAAAGATATAGTGACAAGCACGTTAACATCTAGAATATTCAGCAGCGATCAAAGGGTTAAATTTATGTACTAATATTGTAATCTCTAGTGTCTAACTATATTTTTAGGGTTATACAGGTTAAAAGATATACCTTGTAGTCGTGGTTGAGTCCCATATTGGTGCAAGTGGGGCACTCCCAGGAGTTGGGCAGGTCCTCGTTGAGCTGCCCGCCGGGCGGCACGCAGCCGGGGTGCACGATGCTGTAGCACACGGAGCACTCGCGCAGCACTGACGGACCGTTGCGACCTAAAATATACATATATAAATTTCAAAAACGACTCCGTATGAATGGAATTGAAAAAAAAAACTAAGTAACCTATGTGTTTCGTTAAGTAGTTTACAAGTTCTAATAGACTACAAATTCTAACAAACATCCATCTAAACTTTTGCATTTATAATATTAAGAAATAAGAATGTATTCGATTTTTTGATTGTAGGTACGATTCCTATAAACCATGTTCTAGCACAATCATTAAGTTTATATGGAATGGTAACAAAAACTGTATTCTAATACCAGCAAATAATTAAAATCACCCTGGTTATTTTAATTGAAACTGAATATGTTATAGAATGTAAACAATAAAATAAAATTTCTACAACGTCTGTTACACGGGAACTGATAATTATTAATAAAACAAAGTATTATATGTTTAGAGTGATGATTTACCGGAGTTACCCTTGGCTTGCGGCGCCACCGGCGTCTGCATCCAGCCGTCCAGGTGGCACACCGCGCACGACGCCGTCACCGGCAACATCGGCTGGAAATAACAAAATACATATTACAAACTAGCTATATGCATTTATCTACCTGTATTCACAAACTAGTGTTTTTCTGCGACTTTGAGCGCAGATATAAAAAAAAATAATATTCCCATCAAAATAATTTAAATTCGTTTAAACAATCTTTTAAGACATTAGAATTTCAGAAGAGAGAATTGAAAATTGCTCCATCAAGTACGTACAGTCTCGAAAATCCGCTGTGATCCACTTAAGGAAAAATTGCCGTATTCATTGCAACAAGACAAACTCCTTACAAATAACTAGATAGCAATGAGAGGTGCCAACAAAAGAGCAAATTTTAAAAATTAGCCGTATATTACCCAATTTTTTTACGTACAGATACATATATAAGCTGTGTTGTATTAGTTTTATTACTTTTCTCGTTTCAAAACAACGATGTTGCTTTTAAGTTGGCACACCGGGAGTTTTCCCGACTGTACAGTTCTTAAGTATAAGAGAAACAATGTATGTCACCTGCAGACACTGTCGCATGACGCAGGTCTGCTTGGCGCGGCCCTGTCCGCCGAACTTCACCATGTCGTGGCAGAACACGCACTCGCCGCAGTCCGTACGCAGGCACGCCTCGCACTTCTTGCATCTACAAATATAACAAAGTTTAAAATAAAATAAAAACTTGCTTTTGGGGACGGAATAATATATCTTTCGTTTTTAACGTCGATTGTTAAGTTATGATTAAATTTTCTTATGGTAAGTGTTCCTTTTATTCGCACGGAGCATTTTATAACGCTCAGCAATGGCGCTTATTGACGCTGTCACTCATACGGAAAATGTAAAATTTTGTTTAATTTGCCTAGCGCTCAAAATTAATCACTGCGCGATATAAAAGCGCTGTCGTTTGAGCAGATACAATGAAATTTTGTATTACTTCAACGCCTGTTATAAAAGTGACTATATAAATGGGGTATTAGGCCGAAGTCACGAAACTTGAGAAGAGCGAGGCACAGTGGTCTAAAATCTCGGCTTACGTAGACATTCAAAACAGATGAATATGTTTACGTAAACCGAGCTTTTAGCCCACTGTGTAGTACACTCGTCGCAAGTTTCCTGACCAGTTGTGTAATGGGTACAGTTTACAGTGAGTGTACCTGGTGCGTCGCCTGCGCGGCGCGGAGTTGGCATGGTCGGGTCGCGGGCGAGCGGGCGTGCCGCGGTGACCGCCGCGTCCGCCGCGACCGCTCGACTGACGACGCTCAGTCGTCGTCTCCTCGGGACCTGATATACATTTATTACATTGAAAATACATTGAAATAACTACAACTCTTTTTCTATAGATCTATTAAATTTCTATTTATGATTGAGACTATATCTTATGTTGATTGCTACGCGGGCGGAGTTTCGCTTCTTAGATCACGTAAAGGTACACAGTTAAATCTGTTAATTATGGTATGTTTACACAGCAAAATTTCTTTCGCGTGCTTTAAAGATATATTAATAGTACTTTCGTGAATGTCTCAGGCACAGTACATTTATCATCTTCCTATAGGTCCGCATTAAGTGGCTCAAAGTGACTAGACCCCTTAGTCAACCACGCTGGTCTACTACCGGTTGTCTTCACACATATCTTTGATTTTCTTCGCAGAAATGTGCAGATTACGACTCAAATGTTTAACCACCGACGCTCTATGAGTAATACCCGGCTATATATAAATGTACCTTTAAGCAAGGGCACTCCGGTAACGGCGAGGTGCTGCTTGTCGTGGCGGTGCTGCTCGACGAGCGTGCGCACGTCGCGCACCAGCGCTATGGGGTCGCTCAGCAGCTCCGGCACCGACTTGCGCGCCGCCGGCAGCTGGTGTAGGTACATCACTATCGCCTGTTATACGTATATTGTTAATATATTTAAGCAGATACTGGAAATTGAAATTAAGATTGTTTTTTTTTACATAGTTGAAAATTCGGTGACTTAACATTAAAGATTTCAAATCGCGAGTAACAGCTAGTTACCTATAAATTTCCATCTAACTTCTTGACTATCGAGTCGGGTGACAAAATTTCGTCTATCTTACATGTATTTTGTCCTCATTTAGTTGTAAAAATTTTCTTAACACAATTTTTCAGTCATCACTATTTTATCATAGATTAAAAAAACAAAATATATGTGCAGTATAAAAGCACAGACAGTTAACCTTCAATCCGTGTAGTTCGTTCTGCGTGAGATGCACGTGGTCCGTGGGCGGGGCGAGGGGCGGCGCGTGCGCGAGCGCGGCCGCGCCCTCCAGCGCGAGGTGCGTGCGGCCAAGCAGCGCTATCACGTAGCGGTCCAGCACGTACCACAGCATCTCCGTGAAGAACGGGTACCGGAACTTCTGTGGCACCTGCAATACATTTTCTTAATTATTGTAAAACATAATCTTACATATGTTAAAAATGCGAAAGTTTAGATGGATGAACGTTATGTGTAATTAAATTTAGAAAGGCTTAATAGATTTCCCCTAAATTTGGTATAGACGTAGAAGTCTGAAAGACCACATGGGTTACTAAGTTTTTTTAATCCGCTCGGACGGAAATTCGGGCGACAACTAGTCTACTACATTTCAATAACTGTTGATCATATTTCACAGACAACATATAATTCAAAAATAGTTTCAATCGTTCATATTTTGTACGTAAAAATATGTCTTTCTTTAATAAATTTTCTTAAAACAGCGTTATTTTCTCACTAGGATCATTGTTACATAAGTTTTTAGAAATACTTTAATAGTACTTTACCTTGGTGACATCTTCAACCTGTGCAATTTTGAGCTGCTTCTCGATACCGAACTGGTGTAGGAAGTTACCGCCGAAGACGAGGGAATCGCTGGGCGTGTACACCGCGTGGATCCACCCCGTAGGGATGAAGAACGTGTGTCCCGCTTGCAGCTGGAACATACCCAATATTGTACTTATCATCGAGATAAATTATTACAGTAAAAGCTAAGCCATACTGCCAGTATACAAGACAACACAAATCTGTGATTTTTCTCTCTATGTTGCTTACTTATTGTGTAAGTTACATGACTCCGTCCCGCACTTGTTCAAACTTCTATGAGATTGTATTTCTTAAGTCGCTTAGATTGGCGTTGTCTTGTGTACTAAGGTACATTGATTTAATAGTATACAAATAAATTATAAAATTATTGCATTTCAAATAATAGTATACCTAAATTATCCTTTAAATATTAGAAATTCATGTTGCGATTCCAAAACAATACATTTGTTTATTTGTTTGCGAAGTCTCAAATTTAAAAAGTACAATCGAGCTTTGGCTCGGAGGAGGAAAAGGCATCGAGGAAGTGTCATTTTTGTTTACTAGGAAAAAATATCTTAGAAATTACGTTTCTCAAATAATGACTTACATGAACACGAATACATTTCTCGACTGTATCGCCGAAGAACACATCCGATTGTTTGCCCGACAACACCCACTTCTCGTATAGCTGCAAATTCTTCTCAGTGGGCGGGATCAGCCAGAACACTTTCGCACCTTAAAAATTTTTTTTTTACTTTCACTGTTTCGATACAACAATGCAATTTACTACAACTACCTTAAATATACCAGAAAAATGTAAACACAATGAAACAAATAACCATGCATAGAAACTTTTTTGATGAATGTAACAAAGTATCTTAAAAGTGAATTTTTAAAAACTTTAACGTTCTCTAAGTAAAATTCATAGGAAATGTGTTATGTTTTAACATAGTTTTTATTTAAAATATGCAAATAATTATTAAATTATGTAAGAACTTTAATTCCATATCATATTAACTACAACACTGTAAATATTCCTTTGGGTAAGTAAATGAAATTTTAGGATTTCCTTCCTTTTCTGCCACTACCATCTTTCCTAGTATATTACAGTAAGTTTCCACTGCTAAAAACAAGTAAAACTATAATATCCCTCTCGTTCTTGAACTGATGAAACGCTAGGTATTTGTATGTTTCATTTCTCGAAATCATATGAAGATCTATAAATTATTGATATTACCTCTCAGAATGTGGTACCACACCGATGTCCCGCCAAAGTCGATGTGAAAGTCCGTGTAACAGCCCTTGACGGACATGAGACAATACTTCTGTACTTTGGGGTACATCATATCATCCAAAGCATTAGTGGATTCCGTCTGAAAATAACATTTAGAAATCACGAACTTTAACCTATGAATTGAAATAAAGTATAATGTGAATTGGTGTTGCAAGAATCAAAGTTTATTACGGCTCCTAGTTAAATAGGTCGAGGGCATATTGAGAAGGTTATCTCCCGTATTCCTAAAGTGGTGTGAAATTGCGAGCCATCATTAACTTTGAATAATACTATACCTGCAGATCCTTGAGGTGTCGCGGCCACACGGTGTCCACCCAGTCGATCAGGCGCACTATACGCGGCGCCTGTACATAGTTCTCTAGGCGGGTGTGGGAGAACTCCAGCGAGATCACGTTCAACAGGCGCTCTTTGTTCGCATCATCGTAATAGCGCTGCCAATCCTGCACAATATTATGGAACTATTATATTATATTATATTACTATTGATATAACCAAATGTAGACCGCTTCCTTTCCCACATTTTGTAATTAACGGGAAAGTAGATTAGGCAGGAGATGATGTACAGGAAATGTTTCAGTGAAAGGGTTACTTCGCTATTATAGCGATTGTCTCAGAACAGTTACATTCTTTAATATGAGATCTCTTAAAGATTTAACTGTTCGTCGGAACAGTCCAAAATGTTTATCGCTAATAAGAACTAATAAACAATTTGCAACTCTGTTATGAATAGTGCTTCCATTCATCACAATGTAATCAGTCATTACACGACTGGCAGTGTGCCAAATGTTCTTACTCCCAATACAATTGTAGTCACTTATCACACCTAAGAGTCTTATCTGCTTAATAAATGATTATTCGTCAAATGTAAAACTGATGCCTTAAAAATAAAATTAAACATAGTTAGTATCAGGTATTAATAAATCTCCCTTTACGTGTACGTATGACGTCATTTAACGTTTACAAGCTACTTTATAAAAACGTGGATATTTTTAGACAAACTTTTGTTTGCCAAAAAGGTCAGTGACAGCTTACAAAGGTATCAAGTTTTTTGTTTTTTCTTTGATTTTAAAATCATTAAAATGTCATAGTAAAACCTAAAACGTACTATAAAGCCCTACATTCTATCTATTATCTTATATAGACTGCATGATAATGAATACAGCGCTGCGAATACATTACGTGTGAGTCTACGACATACAGTACATGATAAAGCCCTACCGACAGAGTGGTCTACGTGGGTGTATGCGAGACCGCCAACTGAACCAAACTCATTGCGTCAGGAGTGCCAACCTTTCAACAATGTTTGCGCAGATGTTGGCACACCGGTTTGCGCAAACTCGCGAAGTCAGCTGCGCATTACAAGTAGCACTGCAGAGCGGCAATCGGCCATGCCCCGTCAACAGAGCTGGGTGTTACCGGTTTTGTACTAACAATGAGAACGCAGTTTTACAAAGCTCGAATACATAAAGAATTAACTCAAACATTAAGGAAATTGAGAGACCTAATTGTTTTATTTAAACTAATGCATGTAAGAAATGTTTCACGGTATTCTATTTCATTAACAACTACGTATATTTTATTGTCGACTTTAATAGATCGTTTATTTCCGACCATGCTTAAACTATGCAACTCTAGCTGAATTAGCGCAATTACAATACGGGAATTTCTTTCTACACGACCGGTGCGTCTCGTTTTTCTTTGTTTTATGTTATGCCCTTTTTGAGCACGCTAAAGTTGATGCTTCATTCAATTAAAATGGCATACAGGAACAAAGTCGTTTATAGACTTACCTAAATTTAACTTCTAGTATTATCATGACATAACACTTATGTTTGTCAAACTATTTCTGCCGAATATCATGAAATATTAAAATTTGTGAAATGATAACTCCATTAAAATTTTGAAATCATACAAAGCGACGTTTAAAGTGGGTTTCTGTATTCGATTATTAGGTTACCAAATTGGAAAGATTAGGATAGAGTTTCATAATACATAAGACAAGTGATGTATATTCAAGTAACCAATACTAAAACCATGCCCAACACCAAATGACGCACAAAGATTAAAAGGATAGTTCTATACCAAAAGAAAAACGTGAAAACGTCTCATTTGAGATCGGGTCGAATTGATAAAGTGATTTAGTCGACATTGTCGCTTTTGTTTAAAGGATTTCTTATCTTTATATTTAAGGTATGAAACCTGATAGAGGATTAAGTTCAAAACGTGTTACAATTTTGAAGTTATAATCCTACGTTAATATGTGGATAATTTATTTACATGAGTCATTGTTTGATAGTCCCGAGAAAGCTTTTCGCGAGCTTCGCAATATGTGGGATACCTCCCGCCAAGTTACACTGTTGTTTAGATAGCTTTTGTTTGTTTAAGGAAAGTCTCTGTTGCTTTATCAAAGATAGTGGTGTTGTCTTTTGATTAATCATTAATGTTATTTATAATACTGTTTGTTTTGGTTAACATTTTGTTAGTTTACTGTAATTGTTTTCTAACACTTGGTGGTAGTCAATACTTAACTATTTTTTTTTACATCATTTTTTCTAAAGCGTCAATGTCACTTCTGAATCAGTCTTTTAATTTACTCCGGAATATTTAGCAAAAAGAAGCTGATTTTATACTTTTTTAAAATTAGATGCATTTTAATACATTATGGTGCTTGGTAAATGATTTTTAATGTATACTTGGTGCATTTTTTATATACTACATAAATTATGATTGTCATTACAATGGATTAACAGTTGGTTTTCTTTGGAAAGTGTGGACAACAATGGGACTTTCATGCTATAATAAAGGCTACGACTCGACCGTGTCATGTTCAAATTCTTGATACGTAAAACTAATTTTTATAGTTACTTTAATCTATACTAATATATAAATAAAGGTTTGTTTTTTTTCTATATTGAAATAACTCAAAAACTACTGGACCGATTTTAAAAATCTGTCACCATAATTAATATAATTTACCAAAAGGTAATTTATCTGTGAGTAACATAGGCTATATTTTTACATTACTTTTAATTTCACGGGGATAAGGTCGCGAGCAACAGCTAGTTATTAATCATTCCTACTAAGGAGAATAAATAAGCTTTTTCTGAGATTATGACTTTTCTTGGACACTTATCGGTATGAAAAACTGGTAAGGTTGTTTTATCAACACTTAACATCTGTAAGATTTATTATACTAAAAACAAAATATATATTTTTTTTTTAGTATAATAAATCTTACATCTTTTATTATGGTCATATTGTTTATATGTATGACCGATTAAGTAATTTTTAAAAGTGGTCACTTTTACCATGTTAAACTATCTTATGTGGTAACTTAAACATATTTAAATTGCAGTTTCTTTGTGTCAATTGTAAAAAATTATGCAATTTTATCTGTTAACGTAGATTAAAAATGCTTTGTATGCAGCCTCAAGTCTATATAGTTCGAATTCTTGTGATTGAATTAGTTAGTGCTTGTAGCGTTCCCTATTCAGACTCGACGCCTACTATAAATGTTGACTTAAATTTTTCTTTTTTTTTTGTATACTTCATATGTTTTGTGTGAAACGTAAGTGAATGTTGATGGTAAAGGTGATAATAAAAGCAGTATACGTACATTTATGGATATAAGAAAACGAGATAAGTAAATTAGGAGCGTTTAAAAGAGAAATCCTTGATCTCTATTTACTGCCGGTCGATCAGTAGGTCATGGTCATGTAAAGTAAAATAACTTTTTTTATCCTACATTTTAAACTTATACAAATAAATTTTTATTTTTAAATTTAAACGATTCAATTTTTAAGTATAGGACGGTTGATGGGTTTTACCCTAAAGATCTAAATGGGGTAGCGATTTTATGAAGTTGTTGGTCCTTAAGCAAACATACTTAAGCTTTGACAAAATATTTTTTCTTAAACATATCCAAATCAACAAAATTTGCAGGCTATGTATGGGCATAGTTACCATGGTAACATGTAACGTGTTCCTCTAATTTGCATGCTTTCTACGCATTAAGGGAAAGCACTCACCTTCATTGTCATCTCGATGTTCTTCTGTGTGTTGACATCCATGACGTCGAGAAGGCGGCGCGAACCCACGCACATACGCACATCGTTCACTGTGAAGTTACTTGTAGGTACCCTGAAACAATATTAATATTACAATAAGTTTATTTATTTTTATTCATATGTACTAAGAGATAGTTTCCACTACCGAAAAAACATTAAAAACACACTGCTATCTTTTCGTTTTAAAGAGGTGTTTCAATATGTTTTTATATATGTTTTGACAGTGAAAACTTGTAATGTTGAACAGTTTAGTTGCTTCATAAAATGGCTTCCCTATTCCCTAACATGTTATAAACGCTAATCGTTTATTGATACACAAGTAAAGAGTAACCTATAATTTCTTATATACTCGTTAAATAGATCAAAGTGTAGGTCGTTTACAAACTACAGCCGCCTGTGGCATCGACAAAGTGATTTATGAAAGTGAACATTGTTAGATACGTCGGCCGCTTTACCTTTCCTTACAGATAATAAAGCTTGGCGACTTCATTAACCAACGCTTTCTGGAGTTTGAAGGTATTGCGTTTTTTTAGAGTACTTACTAGTTGTTAGAAATGACGAATAGGTGAGCATGATAGTCTTTTCGCTCTACGAAATAGAATCATCAGACTATATTTTTTTGGTTTTCCTAGAAACTTATTGGTTTTTTAACGTTCAGTCTTTATTCATTTAAAGCCTCGCTATACCGCGCTTATAATTTGCTATTTATTCTCTGTTATTAAACTTGTACAGCGTTAAAAATAAACGCGGTAAGTTAAACTTAGGAATAAACCGAGTACAAGTAAAATTTGTACTAATATTTGCTTATACTCTGTTTATTTATAAACTTAACTTTATAATGCGTTTATTTGTAAGGCTGTTAGATTTCCACTAAAGTTCATCATCAGCCTCCTTATCCTACTCCCGTAGGGTCAGCGCAACAGTTTTTTGTCCTCCACATAACTCTATCATAAGTCATCTCAGTCATTACTCCCTTTTCGATGTCTAAATAACTTTAGACTTCCACTAAAGGTATTTAAAAAAAAACAATGTCAATAACGTGGTCGAAATATATTTTAATTTTACTCAACGTATTTACAAACAATGTATAATTATCAGTTGTATAAGTCACCATGCGTTTCTGACAAACAAATTTACCCTTGTCACGCGATCCCAATAAATACTGTAAAGTTGTGGTTAGTTTCCACTGACGAAACATTCACACAAAAACATATCAACTCTCATAAGATCTCTGAAGAAATGACAAACGTATCTATCTACCAGAATTATAGCAAAAAAATCATGACGTAGTTTATTTTAGGCAATTCCTTTGAATCAAAATGGTCGTAGAATTTTTATTACCGTTTGCGTGAAAATATAAAAGGAATGTGTTGTTAAAATTGTTACGGCATACACAAAAGTAGAAAAAAAAACATTTTCCCTTCACGGCAGTTAATAGCGAAAATATCACGTTATGTAGCCAATAAATCAGGTACATTTCTCGCTATTTTCAATACAGAAAGCGCCTAGGAATCAAAATCCATGCTCCTACATCACCCCCTTCCCCCAGAGGGTGGCAGCCTCCACTTTATACATTTAATGTCTAAATAGTGTTAGGGTCCTCTGTACCTATTTTATAATTATATGCTCATTGACGACGTAATCCATGCAGTAATAGTACTTGCATTGACTCAAGACTAGCTGTGCATTTGACTAGCTTCCCTAAGTTCAATAATTCACTTATTATTGCAAATCGAGTTTAGAACACATAATTGTTTTAATCATGGGTAAATTAATATTAATCTGTTTTATAATTTTAGAGTATATTGATGAATTGTTACTAAATGTTTTCCTACTTTAATACGACAACTGAACGAACGTCCAGTTCCGTTGGATTGGTCTGTAGGGTGAACATATAAATGTGAAAACAACCATAGAGACGGGTCATTCGTTGAGTAGTCGTTAGGAAGGCATTCTAAGTATCGGCACTTGATTATTTTAAAACGGATTGGTGATTAATGTTATGGAGTGAGTGAGTGAATAAATAATTGCAAGGATATTGTCGTTTGAACTTTTGGCCATTCCCAAAAATAGATACGAACATGCGGTTTCACCTTTTATGAATATTCGATCAACAAATAATTATTTACGTTAAAACCAATATGTAAAACTAGCGTTTTTTGAGCAATTTATATACTTACTAAAGTATATAATTTTGTATGACTCGTTACAATTGGTAAGCGTTGCGTTATATAAATTCAAAATTTTTAAATAAAGTCAAAACAAAAAATTATTTACAACAATGTTTTAGATATTTAGGTCACATAATCCTCTACAGCGTTATCTATTATCTATTACTATTACGACTCTTTCAAAGCAAGTAGTAGTCAAATGTAGATAATATAGTGTATTTTTGTTTTGTTTTCTTCATATGTATGTAATTAGTACGGTCAGTTACCCTTAATAATTAAGGTATGTGTTACTTGAGTGCGAAGGAGCCAGCTGAAAATCAGCGCAGGAACGACTTAGTCCCTCCTGCATACGCTGAGCTGGCTACCTTTTTGCCTAGATTGTAAATATGTTTTCTTTCGAAAAGTCCTTTTATGTGGCAATAAATACATATTCATTCATTCATTCATTCATTCAAAATATATTTTAAGGCAAAAATTTCTGAGACAACATACGACCGAGTATAGGAACTGGGAACTTGTATGTGATATAAATAGGATGACGCATCAATTAGATATGCTTCAATTGTCATTCCATCACATCGACAGATTGAAATCAAAACAAAGGTTAAGCAATGGATACGTAAAGTACATGAAGGAAACTCGGTTTCCCCTAGAGATAATAAAATTAGAACGTGTCCTCCCTTTCATTTCCACTGAAAAAACAAAGATAGTAATATACACCAAAGACATTCAAGAAATATATAGACTAGGCATAAAGATTTTTTTATCGGTACTTTCTCAGAATGGTACTATATCAGTTGTCAAGTTTAGTACGCCACCACATGTCCTTGTATTGACATGTATTATAACATTTTATATGTAAATTATGACAAGCTCCATATTTTTTTATAAAATAAACAGTGTTGCAAAATTAATTATAAATATTTTAAATATTATTAAAAGACGCCCATTGGAAATTATTTTTATTGTAATTAATTATTTGACATGTGGTTTTAAAGGATTTATTAATAGTTAGTGAGATTATGTGAAAAATGTTTTAATTGAAGTGTCAACTATGTCTGCTCTATATATTTTTTGAATCTCTTTGTATGCAACATTCTACCATATAACCAATGTGGTGATATTTAAAAGCCTTTGTGTAGTCAGAACCGCTTACTCTTAATTCCGCACAATACAGGCTTACGAATATATTCACAGATGCTAGGCTCTTTTCGTTGCGTCAGTACAAGCTTTTGTGTTTCATACAGTGAAACTTTTACATATAACATTTGTAGGGAAAATTTTAACAGAGTACAAACACATTTGACTAAACTGTAGCACAACAGTTGTTCGATTGTTGATTGTCGTTTGTTTCGCAGCCTATTCAGCTGTTAAGATGCACAAATAAAAATTGAGTAGTGTGCGCGTACCTCTAAATAAGCTCATAGGAATCAAAGCGAGACTAAACAGTTGTGCGATAGTTTAGTCAATGGTGCCGGCACTCTTATTACATCGGATATTTCGGTTATTTCAATTTTACATCATTAACACTTATTTTAAATACTAGTACAAATACGGAAAGTGTAGAAAACGCAAGCTTCGACCTTATTAATCTAATAAGGTAATGAGTGACAAGTTGTTAGGATTTTATAAGAAAACTTGCAAATGCCAAAAATGGTGATGATGGCAGTAAACAAAACACAGGATTTTTCTTTTCTACTCCATTATTGTAAGAATTCCACCATCACTTAATCATGCGAAAAACTTCTTGTGGCTTTATCACTATTGCCACTAGCTATAAACTTTCGTTAGAATTTGAAAAATAAAACACAAAGGCAATCATCAATTAATTTAAAGTAAAAATGCCTACAGATTATTCGCATTCAAACTCAAAATACCTGCTATCGCCGCTGTTGATGAGGATTTTATATCCCTTAATTAGCAAACGTATAAATAAGTCGATCCTTGCAATAAGTTTTGCCAGCAATAACAAAGCACATTCAATTAAAACAATCCACAATCAAACTTATCACCTTCGTTTATGATATAAAATCGCTTAAACAGTATATTTTGTTGATCAAATGTAAATTGGATGCAGTGAGGTTACATTATAGCGTGTGTCGCCGGAGCGTACTTTAGTTATTGATAAATCAAGACTAAACTCGGCGAATCGATTGATAAGAGATGAACTAAACTATCAATGACTAACTTTTTCCCGCAACTTTAGCGCGGAATTAAAAAACAAAAAAGTACTATAATTAAAATATAAACTTTTATTAAACAAAGCCTTTGTTATGGCATTTACATAGTAGCTTTCTAACGGTAAAAGAATTTTTGAAATAGTTCTAGTAGTTTTCGAGCTTAAAAAAAATCCTTTTTATGATAAAAGTATGAAGAACAAATCAAAAACATATTACAATACCAAGCTAAAACATATTACATGTTACAATTGAAACAAAAATGCCACGTGTTCATTATTAGCGAACATACAAAAGGTTCCAAAACCCGATAAGAACAACCGCAATTATACTGTGGACTCAAGTTCCCAAACACTAGTTAAAAATATCTCTTTCATCCTCTTTGAAAAAAGCGCGACAACATGATTTTTCATTCACAATTAGATTGACATGTGGTTTTGAGGATCTATCAATAGATAGCGTTAGTGATGATTATGTGAAAAATGTTGCCAATGTGGTGTCAACTATGCCTTCTCTATATATTTGAATATCTTTGATTCATAGAGTTTCGCAATAGAATGTTACAATACAAACATCAAAACTATTTGTTACATTATATCAAACTAGCTGTTCCCATGCGATTGCATCCGCATCGAATTATAAAAATTACATTTTACTGTTCACATTTGTCAAATTATCAATTGCAAATGTCAAAATGACATGACATGGTGTCAAACCATGGCAACCTTGCTACCTTGACAACAAATTATGGTGTCTTTCCCACATTAGGGCTTTTATCCAAAATATTTACCCCTAAGTTAAAAAAAGAGTTATTCGAAAATATGCTGTGATTGCTGACATCTTAGCCAATAAAGAAGTGTGTGTTTACGCTTTATTATAATAGTACAGACAGATTACATAATACCTTTAATAAAATTATGTATTTGATGCTATAAAAAACCTTATACCTAAGGACAATTAATCATTTTCACGTAAGTTCAAATAACAATATATTCCTGGTTGCATAACCGTAAGCTTCCAATGCCATTATGGATATACAAAAACATAGTTCTGTATTTCCACAGAGAATGAAAAAACCACATGTTATTATACAAATGTTATGACAGTGTAAATCAACACTAAATTACATTCAAATATTCCGAACAAACAAGATAAAAATTCATAAATTCGCATCATCGCAGATTTTGTCGGCCTGCATCTTGCATATAGCCTGTATAAACGCGGATTAACACTACCGAAACACTTGTAACAAAACATGTTGTCCCTATCATTCCCTTTGTGAAAACAAGAGATAACAATGATTTTGTAACTATACTGAACTGAAAGTTGTGGTATATATAATGGTGTAAACTGCGTATCTTTTTTTACGAAGTTACGTATACAGGGTGCGTCGTAGCCTTGTATTTCAAGACTGTAGACGGTCCCAAAGCCAATTTGCATCCGAGACGGATGTTTGTGCAACAAGATTGAATCGTTTATTTTATATCCTGGGTGATACGACTGTCATTTGTCATTGGACAATATTCCCGACTATTGTAGGGAATATATTCCAATAAGTGGGCGACTTATAAAGTCAACAATGATTTTCAGCGTTCTCTTTGTTTTTTTAGGCTACAAATCAAAATAAAACAGATATAAATATAGTCAAATAATGATGCCTAGACGGGTGAAAGGAGCTTCTATCGTTTGGTTCTGTCAGAAAATAGAAAAACTTAATGGATATACAAAATGGCATTAACTGAGGGCACCAAGTATCTCATCATAATTTAGTTTTACTTATGCCCATCGGGTCAGTTAGGTTATCGTGCAAAACGTTTACTTTCTTTGGTTCAGTGGGTAACAAATTAAAAGACAATAACAATTAACCCGAAAAATAAAGGTGCCTGAAACTTAAGAATATTTTTAGAGAAAAGTATTCATATGTAATTAAAATACTACTACATTAACATTAATAATTAATGTATATTTCGTATTATCTGTATTAAGAGAAAAGCCTCTGTTTCTTTGACAAACGAGATAGCAATAGTTTATATACCAAGTCCAAATATAACAGTAATTTGAAGCAGATAAATCGTGGAAATTAAATTAATTTCATCTAACAGCAAATTTATTTTAAAACCTAAAGAAATAATTTAAGATTGGTTACATTTTGAACAGCTACCTGCTATTTTATCGATATGTATTATCAAAGATCAAATATCGTAAAGTTTGCCAGATTGTGGAGTAGGTCATGTTATTATCCTAAAGAAGTTCCTGAAGACTGAAAAAATATTTCATTGCAATAATTAAGTCCAAGTTTAAAAGGTCTTACGAATTTATTTTCGGAATTAAGGCATGTATTTTCTAGACATGTTCTTTTGTATATTTTTACGTTCCATACCTTTTGATGCCCTTAGATATCAAGGTTTATCTCTTAAATATAAATAAACAATTTGTACACAACTCTTACACAATTTTGATTTGTTCTGATATTTGTTCATCTCTGTAAATGTATATTTTCAAATAAAATGAGAGAGATGGAATTGCGTTATTGAACACGTGTTTCGGCAGTGAAAATCCGCGGCATAATGGATTTTATAACAGTAATTGGTCGCTAGTTCCAACACTGGTGTTAGGAACGTGCTTTTTAACAAAACAACAAACCGATTTTGAAACCTCACACAGCAATCGCACATTAAAATTTTTCTAGTTTAGATAGGCATTTCTAGTTTAGTATTTTAATAATCATAATTGTAGTCTATACTACCTTTACTATTATAATAAAACGTAAACATACTCTTCTGTATTGCCTAAGATGTCAGCCCTACACTTACGTCACACTTTAAACTATATGTTTTTACGCCATTAAACTAAGGGGTAAATATTTTCGATAAAAACCCTAATGTGGGAAAGAGACCTTAAGTTGCTGCCAACATTAAGGAAGCAAGATTGCCATAGTTTGTCATCATATCATGTCATTTTGACATTTGCCATTGATCATTTGACAAATGATATAATAAAATAAATTTTCTTTATAATTTGATGCGGACGAAGCCGCACGGGAACAGATAGTTCTACATAAAATTCGTAACCAACATATTCGAATCTACGTGTAAGAAAAACTCACTATACAATTATAAAATACCAATATAAACAAAATTTATTATTTCCCGTCAACAGCCGAACATATTTAGGCCCAAATGTGATAAAGGAATAATTACGTAAAACTTACGACCTACTTTAAATATACTTTGAACATAATTATATGTATTGTTTTTTAAACTTTAAAGTGTTTCAATTAATCTTTGGTTTACTAAAATGTTGTATATTGATAAACACCTCTGATACTGGACAAGGATAAAATTGAAATCGGCTGAAATTACAATTTTAAGTTCGCACACTACTGCAATTCATGCCACACATAACTTTTTTGAAACAAATAAACTTTCATAATCGCCTTTTGTCAATTTGATTGACAGAAATTTCAAGTTAAAAACTTAAAATAAACCATAAACTTACAGGTAAAACATTAGCAAAATTAGTAAGAAGCATGATTGTATGTCTTTGCATCATTAGTTCTAAATTTTAACACAAGTGTTTTAGGTTAAAAGAGTAATTGAACTTTTTTTTATAAAAAAAACACAATAACCTAACCAAAAGTTGTGTGTCGTAAAAATAAATTATATCCAAAACAATAGTGTCGAAAATCATATCCCAAGTACCTATAACATCATGAATGTTGTTTATGGTTGAAAAGTTAGTTTAAAAAAGGTAAATTTAAATAAGAATTAACAACACAATATTTACCATTCCAATTACATTTAATTAACGATTTTATTAATTTAAATTTTCAACTACAAGGAAATTAGCACATTCAACTAAACAAAATATACTCCAATCTAACCATGGAAAAGTTATTAAACAAAAAAGAAACTCTTACCTCAATCCCAATCCATTTTTCTCCTTGAACAGTAACGGAGTAGTAAAGCCATTTTTCTGTAGATATGAAATGGTAAGTTCTGATCCAGTCATTTCAATAACAGCTCCGGTGTGTTCAAACCTGGGACTCTCCAGTTTGTCAGCCAGTGAAAATCCACGACCACCTTCTGCTTCATCATCACCAAGAGCCCATTCATCCGAGTACAGTTTCCGTTGCTTGCGTTCCCGCTGGTACATGAAATGTAATATAATCTCATTTTTATACCTTTAATTATCAAATTCAAGTTCAAATTCTCATAAATGATATTTACCAATTTCTTAGTTAGCATTTCTTTATTGAAATACTTTATACTCATGATTATTTCAATGTAACTTTACATATTTTTCTACAGTCAATATATTTTTAATTAAATTGTGGCTTGTCAATACTCCATAAAGGAATTATTATTACAGTTAAAAAGCAAAGTATCAATCTTAAAAACTTTCGCTCCTTTTAAATCTGGTTTATTTGACAAAAAGATGGTGACTACTTTGTGTTCAAGATTCAAAAATTACTTCTAAAACAATTGGGTTATTTCTTTTTACATGCAAGGTCAAACAGAATGAATAAAATCGAAAAGTAACTTGAGTCGAGAGGCAATAAAACTTTTAAAACTTAGTTAGGCCAGTCTGCCTTTGTAAACAAAAAGGATGTCTGTCGGCAGGACATAGACTCTCAATGTCCTTCTATGTGTCACCAGACCATATATTATTCGTGAAGGAATTATTCAGAAGAATATTAGTTAAGTAACAAAGTAGATTAAAGTAATAGTCAACGTGTGGTCGCAGTGCGCCGCGCGCACGCCCCTGGCCGCCTGCCGCCTGCCCTCCTTCACTCGGCCGGCGGCCGCGGGAGGGAAACGCCTTCGTCCCTACCAGATGCCCACTAAGTATGCTACGACAACGACGTCTTTGACGCGCGCACCGCTCCACGGCCCGCTCTTTATCATTGTCGCTATTACAAACTCACGATCTCCTCCGGAACTATTATAGATTTTGACACCTTCTCGCATGCGCGAATGCAGACGGCCGCCGCGTTTTGAACTCGATCGCGGCGTGATCGAAAAAAAATAAAGTCCGATGACCCTCGTGAGCGATGGTCATTTTGATTCCATACCTTTTGACGTAATTTTTATAACATTCCCGTAACTTTCATAAATCGATACACGATGCAGCGATGCACCATTTCATGTTTACGTGATCCCAGATAAAGCCACCATGGCGTCACCCGGGACTAAATACGTAAAAATCTAACAATAAACACTCACCAACTGCCTCGGCACTTGTTTTTTGTTGTTCGGCAGTGTTTCCGACATGTTTCTGTAAGTCAGAAACACTGCACCACGAAATTAACACTATTTTACGTAAATATTTTACACGGAGCACGAGAAAAAGTAACGCAATCCACCATTTGCAACAGCCGACACTGCTGCCAACATCGCAGTGAACGATCACTCTATCAACATGCCAACGTGAAGTTGGCGACGCAAAAAGCGGCCCATTGGTTTATTTCTGAAACAGTATCATGGCGGGAAAATTTAAAACATCGTCGAGAGCATTGTGTTATTTTTTGTATAATAAAGTGTTGTAAATATTCTTTTATAATACGATAAACAATTTTAATTTTTAAAACATTATTCGCACTCGAAAATAATGAATTAACATGCGTTTTTGTAAATTTAAAATTTAATGTCAACAGTTAAGTTAAAAGTTAAATGTAGAGGAAATTTGTCGTTTAATGCTAGAAAATGTTATGAATTTGCAGTTTTGGACATTTTTTGATGTTATAGAAAGGTTTTACTTTTCTCTCAATCATTAAATCGTCAAATGATAGTCGATGGCTCAGGGGTTAAGCACTTGGTTTGTAATCTGCAGATCCTGGATTTGAACTATCACCCAAGATACAAATATGTTTTGTCATCGTATATGTTATGAGATTTCGATAATATGTAAATGGCAACATTTAACCGTCAAACTGTCATTATATTATTGGTCAAAATTTGACTCTGTTAAGATTAGTGCTTCTAAACATAGAAACTCAACTAAAATTGATGTGCTGCAGATCAGCTCACGGTTTGCACGGTTCATGCAGATCAGTGAATTGGCTCGCAGATTTGTACCTGCACAGAGGATTTTGCGTGAGTTGGGAGTCACCGGGCTATTCGCGACTTGTCAGTTCCAGTGCCGTGAGCTGCTAATGTAGTTGTTGAGTCGCAGCTCAACGTTTCAAAGTTTTATGAGCAATTTCTTTGTGAACCGGTCCAGAGCTGATTTACTCGCACAAGTCTAATGAGTTACATATTTTTCGACCCCTTGTCGATCGAAATTATCATTGTCGATTAAGATATATTAATACAAGTACAAGTTTCGGTTTTGTGTAGTTTTGGGGTCAGATTGTGATAAATAAAGCAAAAATGTAAAAGCATTCACATTTAATTGAAATAAACGCAACAAAATGAGCCGTTTGCATTTTACAATTAATAAGGCAGCATCGTAAAACCATTAACATTATAATGATGAAGATAATACGAATTAATTCGTGATGGTGTGGTTGTGTTCGTGCTTGTGCGTGTACTTCTTTTTATTCTTCGACAGCTGGACCTTCACTTTAACCTTCACTTCCAACTTCTTGCGAAGCTCGTTAAGTTCAGGATCATCTATATCCCAATCTTCATCAGACTCATCGGATTCAGACTCGGGTTCTTCTGTTGTTGGAGGGACAGGAGTTGTAACATTTGTAGGAGGATTTGTTGTAATTGTTGGCCATGATGTCGTTGTCGTGTTCGGCGCAATAGTGGTGATGTCACTAGGTGGGGCTGTAGTAGTGATGTTTGTTGGGGCCGAGGTTGTTGTGTTGGGTGCCACGGTTGTAATTCCGGGGTATTCAGTTGTTGTGGTAAACGTCGGGGTAGTGGTAGTATTTGTTGGTACAGGTGTAGTGGTAACGTTTGTTGGGAGAGGTGTAGTGATAGTTGTTGTTTCAATAGTAGTAGTGTTAATTGGAACCGGTGTAGTGGTAACATTTGTTGGGAGAGGTGTAGTGATAGTCGTTGGTTCACTAGTAGTGGTGATAATTGGAACCGGTGTAGTGGTAATGTTTGTTGGGAGAGGTGTAGTGATAGTTGTTGGTTCAATAGTAGTGGTGTTAATTGGAACCGGAGTAGTGGTAATGTTTGTTGGGAGAGGTGTCGTGATAGTCGTTGGTTCACTAGTAGTGGTGTTAATTGGAACCGGTGTAGTGGTAATGTTTGTTGGGAGAGGTGTCGTGATAGTCGTTGGTTCACTAGTAGTGGTGTTAATTGGAACGGGTGTAGTGGTAATGTTTGTTGGGAAAGGTGTCGTGATAGTCGTTGGTTCACTAGTAGTGGTGTTAATTGGAACCGGTGTAGTGGTAATGTTTGTTGGGAGAGGTGTCGTGATAGTTGTTGGTTCACTAGTAGTGGTGTTAATTGGGACCGGTGTAGTGGTAATGTTTGTTGGGAGAGGTGTCGTTATAGTCGTTGGTTCACTAGTAGTGGTGTTAATTGGGACCGGTGTAGTGGTAATGTTTGTTG